ATATAGAGCATTATGACTATAATTTCTAATTGTTTGAGTAACAAACTAACTGAAATTATATATTCACTTATTTTGTCTACACTCTCTATATGTTTTGCCCATCAGTTGTTTATTAATAAGCTGACTCCAGAGCCTTTCTTTTTATCTTTGTTTGAGTTTGGTTGAGATGTAGTGGATTTAGTAGTTTTTGATTGAGTAGTAATAGGTTTGATAAAGGTAAGTTTAAGATTAGGCTTGTTGAAATTAATTTTAAATTTAGCAAATAAAATTTGTTAAGCTTCTGGATAAAATTGTTCAGTGTAGGTTTTTTTAATATCAGACATGGATGGTTTGTTTAATGTAAGGATGTGGAAGTAAGTAATAATACAAGCTAATGTATCTGTGTTAGTAGGTTTAGAAGTAATTTTGTCAATAGCCTGTTGTTTGTGTAGATTTTTGATTTGATCATTAGTAGCAGCATTATCCAAATAGGATTTGAAGAAGCTATAAAAGTAATAGCTAAGTCTTGCTTGACTAGTGTAAGAGTCGTCTAGGTTGTTGATTTGTAAGAATTGTTTTTCAGTGTCAGTTGCAAGTTTACGCAAAGATGTGATAGGTGTAGATTTAGAGAATGTTGCTGCTAGTTTTTGATTTTTCTCGAAGATAGAAAAATCTAAAGTAGGCTGTTGGTATTGTAGTTTAGAAACATTAATTGGAGCTGGAAAGGGTTTAAATAAATCATTAAAAAAAAGAGTAGAAAGGTTTTTGACAGTATGCTCAACATCAGATGGAAGAGTAGTACAGTTGTCCACTGTACAAGTGTGAATATGAAAAAGAGCAGCTTTGAAGCAGAGCTAGATTCATTCTCTTAGAGAGTTAATTGAAGTTATAGTAAATGTGGGAGGTAGAAGTTGTTTGCATATATTAGCTAATTTGATAGCAATTTGGTTTTTGATATAATTAAAAGTTTTTTGCTTGTCAATCTTAGAAAATTGTCGTTGGTAAGAAGTAAAGAATTTTTCATACCATGATTCAAATTCAGGGAGATGTTTTTTAAGAGAAGGAATTTGAAAGTTTTGTAGAAATAGTTGTTTGGGAATATTAAATTGGATATTAATATTGAACTTGTTATCATGGTTGATTTTGAATAAGGGTTGATTAGGAGTATCTTCACTAAAAAAATAATGAAGTCTGAATCGAATAGCAACAGAAAAAAGAAATAAACAAAAATATCAAAAGAAGATATCAAATGATTGATAAAAAACAAGGCAAGATGCTTGTGAGTCTTTTAGAAAAGCCATTTAGAAAGATCCAGATAGACAGACTTCTGGAGGAAAAAGCTGATCAAAGAGAACTAATCACTGATCCAGAAGAAGTTCTTAAAAAGACAAGAGAGCATTATCAAAATCAATTTAGGCCCGTTCTTTTGACCAAGAGCTATGGGAAAGGAATTGGAAAGAAATCTATAAGCCAAAAGAAGAAATACAAGAAGTGTGGTACAAAAATCTTGATTAGGATATCTCAGAAGAAGAGTGGAAAAACATGCTTAGAGATTTAAAGAAAAACACTGCCTCTGGAGTTATAGGAATTACCTATACTTTAATTAAAGTAGCAAGTGTACAAGCATATAGAATTTTTCGAACATTTGCAGAGCATTGCATCCAGACAGACAACGTTCCAGTAAAGTGGAAAGTCTCACAGATATATCCAATTCCAAAAGATGCAGACTGGCGCTACAATTTGAACAACCTTAGGCCTATAGTACTTTTAGAAACATTTAGAAAGTATGTAACTAAAATAGTAGCTAAAAGACTATTACAAGTCATGGCTGAAAATAATATCTTGAAAGGTTCAAATTTTGCAGGACTGCCTGGGAACTCAATAGAAGAGCCAGTTCAGATTTTAAATGCAATAATAGAGGATACAGTAGACCACAAAAAAGAACTTTGGCTAGTATTTCAAGATATGAAGAAAGCTTTCGACTCAGTATCTCTAAAATCATTAGAGCTAGCAATGGAAAGACTTAAAATTCCACAAATAACAATCAGGTTTATTATAAACCTCTTCGTGAATAGGCAGTCAAAAATTATTACAGAGTTTGGTACAACACAATGTTTTGAAATAAATGACAGAATTGAGCAAGGAGAGGTGATCTCGCCCCTTGTGTGGAGAATTTTTTACGATCCATTGCTTGTGAGAGTTAATGAAGCTCTCAAACTAGAATATACCATAACTCAACAAATTACTTTTAACTACAGCTTAAATCAGACAATACGTAAAGGTTGAATTCAAGCAGTTATTGCCTATGCTGATGACACAACGTGGATCACAAAAAGCAAAGTCCAAATAGAGAAAATAATCCAAATTGCTGAGGAATTCTTCAAGTTCAATGATATACAGATTAATGGAAAGAAATCCAAACTAATTGTCGTTAACTCTGAGCAAAGAAGAGAAGATAGAAAAATTTTTTTTGGAGGCGAATAGCTGTTAGAGGAAGGAAAAAACAAGATCACAAGATTTTTAGGAGTTTGGCTTAACAACAAGTTAGATGAGTCATTGGTTAAGGCAAGAGCAAAGGAGATTGTACGTTTAACGGTTCGAATACTAAATCCAAAGAAACTATCAGTTGCGCAAGCATCTTATATAAACAATATGTGCATTGTTTCAAAACTGTGCTATATGCTGCAAGTTTCCAGGTTCACGAAAAAGATGATTGATGATCTACAGGCACCAATATTAGTTTTGACAAAACATAGAATGAAGCTAGCAAGAACTATAAGCAACAGTACAATCCTGCATAGAAGCATTAGTAGTTGCAACTCACTATGGAATCGTCTTTTAACAAAGCAAGTTTTCAGCCTACACTTGCGACTAAACACAGCAGGGCCTGAGGAAATACTAACTTCGCTAAGACTAAATCAAGGTATTCAGCTGCTGGGCGCAGCTGAAAACACCTGGTTTGAAGAGCTGCCTGAGACCTGTGTACGTCTCTGGAAAAACAACTTGGCCTGCTTAACAATGTTGAAGGCCAGGGAGTTGAAGGTTACATTCAAGTTTAACAATACAGAATTAGAAACAGAGAACCTTAAATTCAGACTAGCGAATATTCTAGGAAAGAATTTTACTCCACTAGTAGCAACAATGCTCAGGAAACTCAATATAATCTCACTCAAACAACTTTTAATACAGTCTGGAGATCATTTAATAACATGGCAGCAACTGAAGATACTTAGAAATAGGTCAAGCAGTGGAAAAAGTGCAAAATGGTTTCATACAATCGAAGAAATAGTCATTGAAGATAAAGAAAGCAGACTAATTAGACCAGAGTATAGACTAGGTGGCCCCAGTGCCTGGGTGCTGCAGGTTACTCCAGACCTATTAAAAGAAGACAGAAGGAAAAAAGAGTGGATTTTGGTCAAAGCCAAAGAAACAAAAGAAAACCATTACCCAAAAATAAGATGTACCCTCAACAAACCAGGAAAAAGATATTGTACAGAACACTGAAAAGTAAACGAAGAGCCAGTTACAAGAAGTATAAGACTTGAAAGATGTGAAGGTTGTGAACTAGATCAAGAGAAAGAAGAAAACTCCTGCAGAAGCCGAATAAACAAAGGGAAAATTCAAGGGTCAATAACAAAAATTGTGAACAAACAGAAAGGAAAGGCCCTTAAAGTTCATTACAAAATGCTGTTCTCTCTGGTAACTTATGATAAGCTTCAGATTCCCATAAATGAGAAAGTATTGCAGGATATTCAGATCTATGACTTAGATACAGAGATCATTAGAAACCAACGAATCAGCCTGACCTTACAGAATTACCTAATAGAGAAGAACCAAAAACTTCAACGTAGCTTCTTGTTTCGGTTTACTTTCTATACTGATGGTTCTTTAAGAAAAAATAGAAAAATAACTTAAACAAAGGCAGATAAAATGGGAGCAGGTTGGATACTCAGGGAGAAAGAAGAAGTCATTGATGAGAAATATCTTGGAGCAAAAAACTGGCCATCTTCAACTAAAGCGGAGTTACTGAGAATCTGGTGTATGCTCTTAGTTACACCAAGAAGAAAGGAAGTAAGAATTTATACAGACAGTGCAGCAGCTTTAGCTAAATTAGATAGTAGAAATTGGAATAAACCGGCTAGACAAAGGCTAAGAGTAGGGAATTATGACTTGATAAAATTTATTATAGATATAGCAAAAATGAAAGAATTATAGCTAGAATTAGAAAAGGTAAAAGGATATAGTAGAAATAGGTGGAACGATATGGCAGATAAACTAGCAAAAATGGGATCTAGAATAGTAGATAAAGAAAGAATTATAGATAAACCCCCACAAGAATCAAATATCTCTTTATGCTGGGAAGAAACAATAGTAGAAGCTCCTACAAGAGAATTTTTACAATTAACACTTGAGCTCAAAACAGAGATAGAATGGAAATCCATATCAGCAATTATGAAAGTAGAACCTGAGGATGAAGTACAATGCCAATATTGGTCTATTTTATGGAAAAAGATTAAAAATCAAAATGGAGTTAGATGTACAAGTGTGAGAAGGAATAAACGTTTGGGAGTGCTAGTCAAATGCTTACATGAAAGACTCCCAGTTCTTAAAACCTTGGTGACTAGAAGACCAGACCTATATAATAGCCCAATTTGTAAATTATATACAAAAGAAGAAGAAGAAGATCAAGAACATTTAACTTCATGTGAGAGACATGAAATCAAGTAGATAGAAGCAGAGCAGCTAGCATTGAACTTGGCTTGGACAGCTCTCTCAGAAGAAACCCACAGTCGTCTTGGTAAGGCTCAACTTAAAAGCTCTCTTTGGAGTTCAACGAAAGAAGAAAAAAATAAGACGAGAGCAGACATTCTTAAAAGACTGATTAAAAATGAAATCGCAAAGAAAATCCTCGAATTGGTGGGATCTCTAAAAGAAGCCAGAAGCTATCTCGATACGGCAGTTAACTCAGCCTGGAATTACTTTTATGAAAACATCTGGAAACAAAGATGTGCATTCTTCAGATGATGAAATTAATCAAAAACAAGATGAAATTCTTAATGAAGCTTATGCCAATTTAATAATTTTGGTAACTAAATATAAGCTAAATAATACAGCTAGAAATGCTATTATTTCATTTTTTAATAAGCATTCAAATCATTCAATATCACTATTACCAAAAAATATTAAACAAGGCAAGGAGTTTATGAATAATATTAAATCTAACTTGGAATATAAGAAAACTAAAGTATTAGATCTTGATAATACTGAGTATTTCTTATATCATATGCCATTAATCAGCTGTATTAAAAATATATTAGAAATTCCTGATATAGTACAAAATTCAGAATTTGAATATAAAGAATTATATAAAACTACTGAGGTATTTATAAATTTAATATATATATTTTTTTTTTAACTATTGGCAGCCTCGCCGGTATCTTTATTAGATCAAAGCATATATATACATATATTTAATTATCTAAACTATAGATCTGACATTCCCCAGATACCTCTATGGGCGCTCAAGGATAGTCTGCCTCACCGGTTAAGGCTAATGCCCGTACCGGATGGCTGCACCAAGCTAGCCATTGAAGCCATACCAAAATGGCTTCACACTATTTACAATAAAGTCTTTAACTGCAGCAAACCAAGTATTTTCTTTTCTGTCAGCTTCCTTCTCTTTAATGATTTCCTCTTTCTTTTTCACCTTTCCTTT